ACTCCTGGTGACCCTCCCCCAGCTGGCCCCTTTGGCTCTGGGTGAGAAGCATTTCCTCTTGCTGTTCTTCACAGTTCTCAGAGGCCACTCACTGCTTTCCTTCTTTTTCCTAAGCAGGCCTGGGGGTGTGGGGAGAGGACAGGATAGGGACAGCTTGACACTGGAGTCAGACAACTTCTCCATGGGATTTCACAGGTTTCCCACTTGTTAGAAAGTCTTGTTTCTCAAAAACCTGTCTACTCAAAGGAACATGACTTAGTCTTCTCACTTCAGTAACTCCCTGCAATCAGAGGAGACGGAGGCTGTTTCTGTCATTTCCCCTGGTCCAGCGGTGGCCCCCACGGCCGTATTTTCACCTTACCTGATGCTAACCTGTCCTCTCACCTGCTTAGACTAAAAATGTGACGTGTTGGCGAGGCCTCAGGCACGGTTCATTGAATGAATGATCAGTGGCACCTGCAAGTGTGGCCACAAGTGAGTTTTCTATGATAAAGACAACATTTAACGAGGTCCTAATAGCCATCTTGGGGTTGGGATGCCCATGCCTGACTCGGGGCCAGCTCTGTGGGGGGTGGGATGGCAGTTTGATTGGGACTGTCGGAGTCTAAGGGAAACCCAAGTAGAAATCTTGGAGTGAGAAAAAGAACTTGTCTAGAAGAGGGGTCTGGGCTACAGAGAGTGAAAGAGAGATTTGGGTGCCATCAGCATACAAGTTTACTCATTTATTTATTCAGTAACACTTTATGAGCATCTATACTGTGCCAGCTGCTGAGACAGGCACAGTGGTATTCCTTCTCAGAGCTGGCATTGACTGGACGTGTGACTCTCAGGGGCAATCGAAGCCACGAGGAGGGGCTGAGCTCTCCTCCAGGGAACTCATAGAGTCGAGTAGAGTCTGGCTCCAGAAAGCCACTGCAGGAAGTCCTGAAGGAGCCACTGTGGGAGTCCCGAAGGAGCCACTGTGGGGGTCCCGAAGGAGCCACTGCAGTAGTCCCGAAGGAGCCACTGCAGGGAGTCCCGAAGGAGCCGCTGCGGGAGTCCCGAAGAAGCCACTGCAGGGAGTCCCGAAGGAGCCACTGCAGGGAGTCCCGAAGGAGCCGCTGCAGGGAGTCCCGAAGGAGCCGCTGCAGGGAGTCCCGAAGGAGCCGCTGCAGGGAGTCCCGAAGGAGCCGCTGCAGGGAGTCCCGAAGGAGCCGCTGCAGGGAGTCCCGAAGGAGCCGCTGCAGGGAGTCCCGAAGGAGCCGCTGCAGGGAGTCCCGAAGGAGCCGCTGCAGGGAGTCCCGAAGGAGCCGCTGCAGGGAGTCCCGAAGGAGCCGCTGCAGGGAGTCCCGAAGGAGCCGCTGCAGGGAGTCCCGAAGGAGCCGCTGCAGGGAGTCCCGAAGGAGCCGCTGCAGGGAGTCCCGAAGGAGCCGCTGCAGGGAGTCCCGAAGGAGCCGCTGCAGGGAGTCCCGAAGGAGCCGCTGCAGGGAGTCCCGAAGGAGCCGCTGCAGGGAGTCCCGAAGGAGCCGCTGCAGGGAGTCCCGAAGGAGCCGCTGCAGGGAGTCCCGAAGGAGCCGCTGCAGGGAGTCCCGAAGGAGCCGCTGCAGGGAGTCCCGAAGGAGCCGCTGCAGGGAGTCCCGAAGGAGCCGCTGCAGGGAGTCCCGAAGGAGCCGCTGCAGGGAGTCCCGAAGGAGCCGCTGCAGGGAGTCCCGAAGGAGCCGCTGCAGGGAGTCCTGAAGGAGCCGCTGTGGGAGTCCCGAAGAAGCCACTGCAGGGAGTCCCGAAGGAGCCTGTGCAGCAGACAGACAGGAACATGCTCAGCTCCTCACATTATCACAAAATATGCAGTGAGAAACAACAGAGAAACATTCATTTTTACTTATCAGATCAGCTGGATTTAAAAAACATGGTAACTGAGTCAGTGTAAACTCTGGAACATTCTGGGTGGGACTGAACATTGATAAAGTGTTTGGGAGACACTGGAAATGTGTCAAGAGCTGGAAAATTTTATTTGCCTTTAGGTCTAGCTATTTTCTTTCAGGAATTTAGGAATGTATTGTAATCTGTTCTTTAACCATGAAGTGTGGACAGGAAAAGCACAAGCCTGCCGCCCCCGTGGATGACTGGAGACCACCAAATGTGTCAGTGCACAGGGTTGGTCAGGCTAACGATCAGCAATGAACACCTTCACAACATGAAAATATCCATTATATGTTTCAGTGGCGGAAGAAAATTATGAACTAATTTTTTAAAAATGCACTGAGAGAAGATGGATTCTCTCATCACAATGGATTGTGATTTTAAAACCAACAAGGAACCAGTTTCTAGAATAAATCCTTGCAAAACAACAAGAAAAAGGCCAGGAAAAATAAGCAGAGGTTATGAATAGTCAGTTTGCAGAGGAGCAAATCCCAAAGGCTAAAAGGCGTGCAGAGATGCTCAGGCTCATCAGCAGGTTAGAGAAATGCAAAGAAAACGACAAGGGACTGCTTTACTGCAGTCAGATTAGCAAAGGTTAGAAAGCTGGGCGATGCCAAGCAGGGGCGTGGGTGAGATGGCAGAGAGCCTTCCCTTGCTCCGAGGGGGGAGTGGTCTGCTGCCAGCTTTCTGGGGGCATCTTAGCTGCCGGTGCGTGGCTGAGCTGAGCAGGTGTGGACCCCGATTCAGCGTTCCTGCTCCCGAGTTCCTGCCCAGAGCCAACGCGTGCGGCCCGTGGGGAGGCCTGCACGCGAGTGCCCAGGACAGGGTCAGGGCGGTGCAGGGAGCTGCGGGCAACCTCGCCATGCCACTGCAGAGCAGACAAGTCAAGTAGGCACGTGACACCCACTTTGTCACTGGGTTAGAGGAAGTGAAGTTGACAAACACAGAGCCACATGGTTAAGTCTGAGGACATAATACTGAGTGAAAAAGTGAGCTGCGGAAAAGACAGAAGGTCGTTCGGGGAACTGCAGGCGCGAGCGCCCGGAAGCCTCACCCCTGCGCGGCTCTCGCGGGACCCTGCTGCCACGCAGTGGTGGGTGCAGTGGGCAGGGCGGGAGCAGGAGCGGTGGTGGCGCAGGGAGGGCCAAGGGTGGGAGCAGGCTGGCACAGCCCAGGGGAGCCGGCCAGGCAGGGGGAGGCCGCACCGCTGCCCCAGGGGCCGGCCCAACCTCCAGCCCACCAACGCACCAGCAAAAACGCGAAAGCAGTAATAAAAAGCTTGCCTCCGCAGCAGCGTTAGTGCGTTTTTGTTAACTCTATAGATGGAAGCAGGACTCTCAGCCGTCATTTTCCTGGGTGTGGCCAAGCTGGGTATTCTTCCCGGCATGTTGCTCCTTCCCAATTTTCCATACTGCACTTACGTGGCTTTTGTAAAAAGAAAACGGTTTCTGAAAATGAAGTTTGCATAATAAGTACTCGTGACAGAAGAGCCAGGGAGGGACACATGGAGTTCTGTGCGTGAACGGTGGGAAAGTTTCAAAGGGGCTGGCCAGGCTGGCCTTGTGATCCTGAGTTAACTGCCATTGCAGCCTACGCAGGGTGTGCGCTTGGGCTAAAAATAAAGCAGGACACCCATTCTCTGTGGCCTGCAGCCCAGAGCAAAACACCCGCAAAACCACTGTGTGTGTCCATCTGTCTGACCCCCACCCTGTGATTAGTGATTGCTGTTTGCTGGCCAGATTCCAGGATGGACTCCTTCGTGGTGACATGTGGTTGGCATGGAGGGCTTCTTGCGGGGAGCCTGGACAGTCTGGTCCCTACTTGGAGCTTCCTGCACTCTTGACAAATACACAACAAAAAAATCTTTCTTGTGCTGGGTCAGTCAACCTGAGTATGGCAACTGAAAAGTCAAGGACACTGACAAAGGTGCCTTCCCAGGGTTACTGTCTGGCAAATCAGTCTTTGGCTATTTCAACTGCTTAGGTTTTTGTTCTCATGCCTACTGACCCAAGATCTGCAGCTTGCACAAATTGTTCTTGTTTACACTAATAGAGAAGCACTTTCAAGCTAGCATGGGGGTTTAAGAAGTCATTTTGAGGACAAAGTCCTCTAAAAATATTAAGTGTGAACCAAATAATGCTGAGAATGAAGAACCTATATCTGTTAGACTCGTGGGGTAGAAAGAAGTTACAATTGAAGATCTAGAATTACTTGCTTCTGCAAATATTGGTAAGATAATTCACACACGTCTCTTCTATTAACTCAGTCTTTTAAAAGTGGAGCAGCATCAGGTAATAGGAAAACAGGCTCTGGTGTTAGAGGTTTGCATTTCAACTGGACATCTAGCAACTCCTATACCTCTGACCCAGCTGGTTTCCTTACCATTCAGAGAAAATCAGAAGACCCATCTCTCTCATAGGAGTCTGTCTAAAAAGCCCAGTACATGTTAGATGGCCAGGATCTGTGAATCACTCTAAATCTAAATCTCCTTTTATTTTATTTTATTCTATTTTAAATATACCTTTATTGATTTCAGAGNATAGGAGTCTGTCTAAAAAGCCCAGTACATGTTAGATGCCCAGGATCTGTGAGTCACTCTAAATCTAAATCTCCTTTTATTTTATTCTATTTTAAATATATCTTTATTGATTTCAGAGAGAGGAAAGGAGAGGGAGAGAAAGAGAGAGAGAAACATCAATGATGAGAGAGTCACTGATCGGCTGCCTCCTACACGCCCCCGACTGGGGATCGAGCCCGCAACCTGGGCATGTGCCCCGACCGGGAACCGAACCCCGATTGCCTCCATCCTAGGCTGATGCTCAACCGCTGAGCCACACCCGGCTGGGCTNTGGGAACCGAACCCCGATCGCCTCCATCCTAGGCTGATGCTCAACCGCTGAGCCACACCCGGCTGGGCTAAATCTCCTTTTAAAAAGTCTTCCTATTTTAGCCAGTTTCAGATTCTTAGAGGAACCATCTTCAACAGGAACTGGACTGAGTGAGTTCAGTACCTGTCCCGCCACCAGCTCCGTCAGGAAGTGCCGCAGCAAGGCCTTTCATTTTTGTCTTTTGTTCTGAATCCAGATCTGCTTTGCAAAGGCATGGAGGCAGCGGACGTCTCAAAGGCTGAAGATGGAGCTGAGGATCCAGGTTTCAAAGACAACGGCCAGCCCGAAGCTGCTCAGTCTGACTTCCCACATGGAGGGCAGGCCCAGGGCCCCACAGCTCTCTGGGAGATGGTGGAAAGGAAGTTTCTGGACTATCAGCAGCTGGCTCACAGGAGCCCAGCTGAGCGTCAGAAGAGCCTGTTGCATCTCCTCCCTCTGTTCCTGAAGGTGGGTGTTCTGAGTTTTGAAGTTGCACCATTGTACAGGGCTCTGGGACCCCTATGGAGTGGTTGGAAGCTGGAGTTGCTTGGTTTTCATATCATCACAGTGGTCTCTGAATGCTTAGAGAGAACGNCAGAGAGGTTGGAAGCTGGAGTTGCTTGGTTTTCATATCATCACAGTGGTCTCTGAATGCTTAGAGAGAACGTTGGATTATTTCATAACGATGTCAAGCGAGGCTCATCTCCACGATGAGGAAGGGCTGGGAATGGATGAGCAGTTGACTCGGAATAATATTGTCTCTTCAGTTAAAAAAGTTATATTGTTGAGCCATGACCCGAGCTTGGAAGCCAGAGAAGGGATCAGCTCCTCTGGGAGCTAGCAAAGGAGTTTGTATCTTAAGACAAGAGTCGCAGGGATGGCTGATGATCTCAGACACCAGTCAGGCCAGCACCAAGGCCTGGAAGAGCAGGAGCATAAAACTGTGTCAATCATGCAAACTGAGGACAATCCATGGGAGCACCGAAGCAGGGCTCCCTCCCGGGGACGGCCCCTGGGAAAAGGCCAGCCTGCCCACGGCTGACACTCGGGGTCGTGGCAGCTGGTGGCAGTNGAAGGCCAGCCTGCCCACGGGCTGACACTCGGGGTCGTGGCAGCTGGTGGCAGCTGGTGGCAGTATGGGGACAAGGGATTTTCTTTGTTGTCTTGGAACAGAGCTCCTGACAGTGAGGCCTGCCTTGTAGTTGAACATATTGAAGGCTTGCTGTACAGTTGGAAACACATCTTTTATGAGGACTTAGTTTTTGCTGGACTATTGATTTTGAGTTATTACTCAAAAAAAATACCTACAATAAAAGAACAGAGAATCTGAGATACTTTTCACATTGAAAATAGACTGAGACAGATGAAGACTGAGGCAGGTTTTTATTGGGAAACCCTTTTGTTAATGTTTCATCTAACTTATTAACCAGAAACATTTATGGGTTTCCAAAGAAGACTCAGAATCTTCTTGGGATCATATTTATAAAAGGCATTGACTACTTAGGCATGTTTTTTTGTAAAAAAAAAAAAAAGAAAACCCGCCAAGTAACTTATTGTTCATGAACTCAGTATCTTCCTCCATGATGTGGGCTTGTATACGCTATTCATCCCATTACACAGGTTGGCTAACCGAGACACAGGCAAAGAAGGGCTAGGTGAGGAGAGGTGGCTCAGGTTTCATTTCGAGCCTCCCTGCCCGGACACCCCAGTGCTTGGGAGATCGCTCAGTCTCACCCAGTTCTCAGGTCAGCTTTGCCTTCTGAAAGGAAAACTGTGAGCAGCCTCCACCCTGTCCACAATTCCCCGGGCGTGTGTGGGTTCACCGGCTGTGCTGTGCCTTTTCCACTGAGCTGGGCAGCCTGGCTCTGGGGAAAGTGCTCTGTGTCTGAGAGCCAGGGCTTGGTACTCGTTTGCCTCTTGCCAGACTGTTGATTTGAGAATACTTTCGTTTGTTGTATAAAAATGTATTAAGCATTTACACTCTGTTCTAGGGCCCTGGGCTGTGAGAGTAAAGGAAACAGAGGTTTTATCCTTATGGAGAGTTCAGTCCAAAGTAGATGATATTGAATCGCACCCAGAAAGTGCTTTATTTGACTTGTAGGGGTTAAAAATGAATTACTGGCCACTTTTTTCAAAATGGAAAGCTTTCACCTGAAAATCAGATTTCCAGTTTCTCTAGAAAATTTTGGTAGCTGTAATACCAACAGTTGTTTGGAGGTGGTTAAGGCACCCCTCTTAGACAGAAGATGGTCTTGGTCTCTTAGCCTACCCCAGCCCCCACTCCCTAACATCTTTTACTCAGTACACCTTACTCACTTACGCTACCTGGCCCTATAGGCACCTGAGGCTGCCACCCCAAGGGTGGCGCACAGCTCCTGTTACAAGTGAACCTTGATATTGGTCCCTGTTCCCCAAACCTTGTCCTGGTTGGCAGCCATAACGGCCCAGGGGCTTTCAAGTCAGAGAGAGCAGGCTCAAGCCCTGGAGCCATTGCTTATTAGCTGTGCATCCTTGAGCAAGTTACGAAATATCACTGAACCTCAGTTTCTCATCTGTAAATCACAGTGTTAGCAACACTGCTGGGAGACTGTGTGGGTGAGTCCTGCTGCATACATGAGGTTTCAGATCCTGTCACCACGATTCCCCCAACTCCTGACACAACCTTCTGTGTTTGGGATCGCTGGAGTCTACCTCTGATGAACCCTAGAGAAGCAGAATATTTCAGGCTTTTAATCATCTCTTAAAATCTACAGTCTTTTATTAAGTCCTATGTGTCTACAAACATGGTATTTCTATTAAGTTTTTACTAATAAAAACCCTGCCAGAGCCGGACCTGGAGCCGGAGCAGAGTGAGCCCTCAGGCTTCTTAATGAAAAGTTGGTGCTGGAAAGAGACCCGGGGAAGGTAGGAGCTTTTTTTCAGGTGTAGTGCAGATAAAGTCTGAGCTGTAGATGATGACTGGAAACATCCATTGGAACACAGGTCCTTGTGTAAGAAATCAAGCTTATCACCTGTCTGTTCTGGATTTTATAACCATAGGACAGTGTTCTTCAGGGTTGTCTATGAAGAACCCCCTTGGAACTATCAGGACTCGGAAAGTCATGCTGTGTCTGGAATGTGGCCGTTGAAGTCCAAGCCTTATGCATGGATTGTGTGTCATGAAACGATGGCCCTGCTGGACTGAGAGACTCCCGAGCACATTTGAGAGTCCTGGAACACTTTGTCTGGTGGATCTCAACTCTCTGTACCTGGCTCTTTTCATTTCGGCCCCAAGGAAAACTAAGATGATCTGGAATAGTCCTTGTTCACAGACAACGAACACGGGAGATTTTGAATTGTTGTCTGTGCTTGGAAAGGGCCGTGTCCCTGGGTAGTGAGATCTGACACTGGGCCAGACTCTTGATCAGTCAAACCCAGCATGGAAGGGGTGGCCCAGGTGCAGGCAGAGCTTTGGCAAAGGTCATGTGAAGGTCATGTGACCCCATCACAGTGACTGCCACTCGCCTCGACCTGGTAAGTCCTGGGATTGGACGGCTGGTGTCTTGTGGAGGAGACTCCCTCAGGGGGGCTCCTGGGGCATCTTCTCCCCAAGGAACTTTCCTTTGGGCCCCTGGCTTTCTCTTGTGTCTGACTCCTCCAAACCCACGACCCGGACACGTTTCCTTCGTCCCTGCCATAGTGCACATGTGCATCTGCACTAACTGTTGGGCAAGTACAAAGATGAGTTGGTCGGCTCTGCATTAAATTCTAGCCCTCTTGTCTCATCTCTGGAGTTAAAGAACAACTTAGGGAGTGAAGGAGCGAACCTCCTCAGCATTTGGGTTGCTGTCTTGGAAATAAAGAATTGCCTGATGGAGACTCAGGGCGCTGCAGCCCCAGCGGGGAGCTGCCGAGGGAGGAGTCAGACAGGAAGCTCTCACTGAGGGCTGCAGGCTCCTCCAGGCTCCATCGCTTCCCTTCCGAGGCCAGAGGAGTCTTAGCCTGGGCTGATCACTGGCAATACTCACCCAGCTCTAAGTGATTCAAGCCCTCACACTAACGCTACGAAGGGAGTGCCATTTTTATCCCAGCTTTAGAAATGGGGAAAGAGATGTTATGTGACTTGACCAAGGTCACCGGGTTGTTAGTGGAGAGCAGAGCTGGCAGTCTGCGCAGGCCTGTGTCAGGAACTGCTGGGCGACCTCGAACAGCGCTGGGGCTTGTGAAATGGAGCACAGCGCTTCTTTCTCTACCCCTGACCCCCTGCACAGTGGCTTTGCCTGGCTAGTACCTACATTCTCTTTGGGTACAAGAAGATGCTACCCCCCCACATATGTTTGGGTAGCTGCCTCACACAGGAAGCAGTGCCGAGCCAGCAACTTCTCAGCGGGCTGAGCAGCAGTCTCAAGAAGAGTCCAACTGACTGCTGTTCTTTTCCTGCCAAGAGCCCTGGGCTTCAGTCTTCCTAGAACCTTTCCTATATGGATTCCACATCCAGAGGAGAAGGATCCCTTAGCATGCATGGGCAGGTTCTGCTGGCTTTTGGTTGAGTTTACTTTGAGGCAAAGGGAACCCCTTCAGGGCCTCATGTTGCACATAGAGAGTCCATAATAATAGACATGGGGGGAGCTAAAACTATAGATGCAGTTGTTGAAGATTGTTCTTAGAATACATGCTCTGAGAGAAAGCAGGCAGAAAGATGGGGAATCCCCAGCAATTAGTGCAAAATTCCTCACTGTCTGGGACAAACAACCATGGGGCTGGGACAACATGGGAAAAATAAAAGGAGATCTGTGGATTCAATAGATCAGAGATGCTGCAGATGACCTCACACTGCTGCCTTTGAGAGGCAGCAGCTATGCCCCCTCCCCTTGCATCTGCATGGGTTTGTGATGGCTTGGCTAATGGAATAAGGCAGAAGTGGCATTTCCAGGCCTCGAGAGACCTGTAGCTTCTTCCTGTCACTTTGGAATATTAGCTTTTAGAATCTGCTGCCATGTAGTGAGGAAGACCAAGCAGCCCCATGTCAAAACCTATGTGGAGGGGAACCAGATCCCCTGCTCTTGCAGCAGGACTTGCTGCTGACAACCAGCACCAGCTTTCCAGCCCTGTGAGCACCCCTTCTTGGAAGAGGGTCTCGCAGCCCCTGTTTGCTACTCCAGCTGAGTAAGGCAGAGAAATCTCAGCCTGCTGAGCTCTGCCCAAATTGTCCATGACACAAATAAATGATCGCTGTTATTTTAAGCCACTCAATTTGGGGTGATTTGCTATACAGGTAGCCAGAACAGTGGGTAACAAGGGGAGACATGTATTTGTTTCCCAGTGTGGAGGGATTGTACTTGGAAGTGAGGATTTGTGTGTGTGCATGTGTTCGTGTATGTGCACACATGTGTATGTACACAGGCATGTGCTCTTAGGCTAACTGCCTGGCCAGTGGTGCTGAGTTCATGGCATTAAGTTGGTTAATCGTTCTCGGGAAAACCAAGCATGGACCCAGCTGACAGTGGATGGAGGGTAAATAGCATTAAGTATAATAACAGGATGGCCAACCATTATTTCCAAGTGTGGTGTCCAGAGGGGATAGTGACGGTCAACACCCCTCCTTGTCCATCCTTGACTCTACCCCTCAGAGCGGGGCCTGCAACATGATTTATTCCCATTTGGGGAAAACAACAATACTGTTGTGCTCACCAAATTTTGATGCATCACTTTTTTATGTTCAAGGGAGGGAATGCTGTCGCACTAGCAGGGGAAGTTCATGTAAAGCCGCGAAAGTGTTTTGAGCTCACTAAAGACCAGGCCACCAAAGTCTGTGGCGATCAGGATTAGTGATATTGCCGTCAGCCTTGGGAACCAACCAGGCTGTCTGTCATTCCAAAGCCGGGCTTTCTCCCATCTCCTTAGGAGCCTCTGTCATTCCATATTTTCCACTGGAGACTGCAGCAGCGTTTCTTCCACTTTCTTCCATGTGAAGGGACAGCACAAGGCATGCTGGCGCAGCTTCGATAACGGGAGTAAATGGAAGGTTTTAAAATATTGAGCAATATTCGCCCAGCATGCAAGTCCCAGTTTGGGAAAAGATTTAGGTCCTTTTGGAAGTTGCCTTAACTCTTTGGGGTCTCCACGGTATCGTTCAGTAAATGACTGCCTCCGTGCGGGGAACAGCACCCCAGTGGCCTGAAGGAGTTAACGCGGCTGCCAGAAGTGCCCGTTGAGGTCCCAGGAAGGAGAGCGAGCCTTGGGAGGATCTGGCTGAGTGTACAATTACTGTTCAACTCGCAACGGCCCAATTTGCTTTATTGTAGAGTGCCTCCTGCAGTCCCACCGCTCAAAGACGATCTAGAAGATCTGAGCCAATTGTCTGCAAATTGGTCTTTGAGGGGTTTGCCAGTGCGGGGAGGGGCACGGGGATTTGTCAAGAAGACAGCATAGCAGAGTTCTCGTTGCTGGGGAGGGGAACAGTCTTCCTACAGAAGTTCCCAGCCAAAGGACTGACTTCTTCCCAGGGATTAACGTTTCCGAGTGATAGCTGGTTTCCAGGTGGTAGGCATACGTTTCTTAGGCACGCACAGGCTGCTCAGGCATGGGCGAGTAATCCAGCGCCTCGCTCTGGCTCAGCTGGCTCTCTGGGCTCACCCTCGGGCTCTGCTCCAGAATCTGTAAAGCAGGGCAATACTAATACCAACCTCAGAGGGTTGTTGTGAGGGTTAATGGAAAGAATGCAGGTAAGTGTGTGGGACAGCATTTGGCTCAAGCCCAGCACATGATGCATTGGGCCATGATTCTGCTCAGTGTGGGTTTCATAATCATGTCCACTTATCAAATATTTGCTGAAGGTCTACTGTGTGCAATAGTGTTTAACATTTATCCAGCATTTTTGTAGTTTTAGCAAAGTTCTGATGTATGCGTTTTTATTTACAAAGGAAGGGGCACCTCTGCTTACAGGGCAGAAAATAAAAACAATTTTCAGGTACAAAGTTTGTTTTTAAACAAAATAAATACCCAAATATTCCCCACTCACATAAAGTGAATTAAACATTTCAGATAAACTAAAGCCACCTGTGCGAGCGTCCCGGCGTCATTCACCTCCGCCCTCCTGCAGTGGTGACCCTGTCCTGCTGAGCGCCGGAATATACACGCATATACAGGCTCGCAGGCTTCTGTAGACTCACTGCAATATGCGTCTGCAACTTGCTTTCTCCACTCAACATTCTCTTTCTGGGGTTTATCTGCACTGATACATGAAGCTCTATTTCTTTTTCAGTTCTATGTAGTGTACTTATATAAATATGCCACAGATTATTCATTCACGGTCCTATTGATGAACAAAGTTGCCCGGTTTTTCATGATCACAGATAATGCCGCAGACATATTTCTTGTCCGAGTCTCCGTGTGCACAAGCGCCAGCCTTCCCTTCGGGGAGGCACCTGGAGCGGAGACGGGTGGCTGGGCTGTAGGACACGCGCCCGTTCAACTTTCTTGGCTTGGTACCTACTTCTCCAGAGCGGCCCTTCCACGTGGCGCTCCCACAGCAGAGCGGGGCTTCTGTGGTCCCCCATCCGCATATTGTGAGGCTTCTTATTTTTACCAACTGGAAAAGTATGAAATATCTCATTGTGCTTTTCATTTTCATTTTCCTCATTATCAGTAATTTGCTATTTATTATATCTTTTATTAGTTACTTGTTTCATTTGCTTGTTCTTTAAAAATCAGTTTACCTTTATCTTACAAATTTGTAGCAGTCTGGATATTATCCGCTGCCAGTTACACGCACTGCAGATGTTTACTACCAATCTGTGGCTTTCCTCCCCATTTTGTATACAGCATTTTTTAATATAGAGAAGACTTTTGAAGGTTTTTGCATTTTAACAAATATAGTACGTGTAGCAAGGCAACACATTGAAATGATTTCCCTTTGGAACTTGATGCCTTTCTCGCCTTCTCTGGAAGGAGGATCTCGTTTAAAAAACCCGGCCAGGTTTTTGGGCAGGAATATAATTTATATGGCTAGTGAATGGGCCCAGAGAGTGGGAGTCCAGCAGAATTGCATTTTATAGCGGCCACTAGTGGCCAGGAAGGTTCGCAGCAGCCTACCTTCCTGGTGAGGACCTGGGATGGGAAATCCCGAACTCAAGTCCTGGACCAAGGCTAGCCCCTCTCTCCTCACCCCAGGACTCGTGAACTTGGCCTGTGACAATACAGTGGAACAAAGAAAAAGGCTCAGATGAAAAGCAGACCTAGGAACAGGATTGCTGACAGAAACCAGGGGAAATTCTGGAAGGAGAAGAATCAGTGAGATGACAACTGATGGGGAAAGGAAGGCGAGGGAGAGGGAGCCCTAGAGAATCACTCCTGGAGCTTCCCACCAGGGCAGCTGGGTGCCTGGCAAGGCCCTTCACGGATACAAGATACAGCAGGTTCTGGGGAAAGCACTGGATGCATCATGTGTGTGGTGTTTCAGGAGCATGAGTTCAGGGCAGGTGTCCAGGGTCCAGCTGGCCATGGGTTTGGAGCTCAGCAGAAAGCCAGGGAGTTAGCAGGCATGAGGGTAGGGGCACAGTGGAAGTCAGAGGGTAGGCGGTGCAGTGGCCTTTGGGATGCACCTGGGAAAGTGAGTTGGGCCACTGGTTTGGGTTGACAAGGAGAAAGGGAGCTTTGTAGCTGTGACACTTCTGACCAAGTCCTGTTGTTTGCATTCAGGCCTGGGAGCACTCCGTGGGGATCATCCACTTTCCCAGTCTCCAAAGGCTGGCAGAAGAGGTTTCCAACCAGCTAGTCCAAGAAATTCAGAAGGTGCTTGTGGGAAAGCCTGCAGGTAAGAGAAGAGAGGACCTGGAGAAAATTCACGGGAAAGTAGAACAGCTCTGAAGACTCCTCCCTGGCCTCCAGCTCTGTCCCCCTCTGCTTTCCGTGGAGTTAGCGCTCTGCCTTCCGAAGAGACCAGGGGCCAGTTCTGCCACTGAGCACTTTGGGAAGGAAATGAAAGGCTAGCAGAGCAGGGAAGGGAGACTTTAGGGAGCTCTGCTGCTCCTGGGAGGGACACACACACACACACACACACACACACACACACACACACACACACACACACACACACACATGCATGACCAGGGCTCTGGGAGGAAGTGCTGGGATAAAAGATGTGCCCGAGTGTTCAGTGGAGAGCTCTATCCAGAAAAGACACTGAGGTCAAAGCATGTGTTTTGTCGTGGGGTCTCTGACTTGCATTCTTTCACTCACGGAGCTGGATCCTGGAGGCTGGGCTGTGGAGGGAATTCCAGGGGAAGGAATAGCTTGAGCGTGGTGTAGATGGCAGGAGTCCCTGTAGTAGGAAGGGCTGTGTGATACAGAAAGTGAGTGAAGACCCTGATTGGTGGGAAGTCTATCACTGAGGAACCCGTTCTTATTATTTGGCGATGGGGAGCCATTGATGGTTGTTGAACAGGGATGATTGCATGTGAAAGCCTGTCCTCCAAGGAGATTAACCTGGCAGAGTGTGAAAGTTGGTATAGGTCCAGGCAGCACGTGGGAAAGCAGAAGGCAGATATCCCCTGAAGATGCTAAGGTGCGTTCATGGGAAAAGGAGCCACGCGGGGGGCAAGCTGGGTGAGCAAGTCACTGTGTCACCCTGGTGGTGACGCCCTCTCCTCTTTGCATTGTCAGAGCAAGCACGAGCAGCCGCTGCGCAGCTGCTGCGGTGGAAGGGGGATTCGGATCAGGGTGGCCACCTGCTCCTGAAGTCGGCGTTTGTGCTCACAGGGACAGACTCGGTAAGTGCCAGGTGCCCGGGCCGGCCTGCATCCCTCCTCGTGTGCACGGGGACATCTCAGCTCAGGGCAGGGCAGGTCTCCAGAGAACCTTTCTTTCCATGAAGCTGAGTCCTTATTTCCCCTCCCTGATTCTCCCTCCGGTATAAAGCACGACTTCTGAAACTCTGAAATTCTGGTTTGAATCCTGCATGTCAGTTGACTTGCTGTGTATAACCTTGGGCGAATTGTGTTACCTCTCTGTGACTGTTGTGTTGCTGACGTTGCGAGCGGGGGACAGTGATGCCTCAGTTCTGGGGCTGCCGTGAAGATTGAAAACGGCTGAGGCCCTGTGTGTCGGGGAGGCTGGGTGTGTCCCAGCACTGTGCTCGCTGCCCTCCCCAGGCCCGTGAGTGCGGCCATGGTGTCATGTTAGTGGCGAGAAAGCAGTCTCCCCGCGTTGTGTCGCTGCAGCCTGTCTGCTGCCTGAGCTCGGAGCCCCTGCTCTTCTCTGCCTCCTGTCCGTGCCCGCTCACCCAGAGACATTGCTCGAAGGAGGCCTCTCCCCTTTCCCTTCCCACCCGCACCCCATCCTGGCTGCGGTCATGTCCTCCCCCTGTGAAGAGGGGCCTGGGAGCCTCCTCCCCGAGTGGCCTGCTGATGGCTGGGTGTCATCTCAGGCAAAAGCAGTCCTGGCAGCTGTGACCATCAGCAGATGTGACCACCAGAGACCCCTTGCGGGGCAGGCCCAAGACTCACTCATCTGCCCTCTGCTGGGAGTGCCCACTGTGATGGGTCTAGCACACAGCGCCAGGAACAGCAGGGGGCAGAGCTGGGCAGCTGCTGCTCTCCATCCAGTGGCGACACAGGTATCGGAGGAGCCTCAGTGTGCGGCGTGAGAGCAGCAGGCTGCGGTGGTGAGCCAGAGGGAGGGCCGCCTGGCTTTTCCTGTGTAGGCACTGGGAGCCCTGTCGGGCACGGCCCCCTGCGGCACAGAGCAGGGCCTCTCTGCTCCTGGGAAAGGACTGAGTTCAGCCTGAGCAGCAAGAATTAACCTGCAGATTGGCTTTCTGCTGTGAGCAGTGAGAAAAGTAAGCAGCTGGCGTCCAGTAGAGCAGTGGATCATGGGGACAGGGAGGGCCACCCTGATCTGATCATCACAGAGCCTGGTGTCAAGGAAAGGATTGGACATGACCTGCCCTGGGAGCTTTCAGGGGCAGGGCGGGAGCAGTGCACTGCATGACATTCCTGGCTCTGGCCTGCCTTCCTTTCTGATTTTCTAATTGTGTGGACAGTACACTTTAGGAGAACCCCACGTATGCCCACATGTGTGCGTGCACACACACACACACACACACACACGCACACTGAGACCACAGCCATAGTGATCCTGTGGAGCTGCAGGCAGGGCGCTTGGAAGAAAGGTCCCCAGGAGCTCCACACGCGGGCTGATCTCTGCCAGCTTCCAACATCTCCTCTCCTCGGTCCGGCAGCTCTGGTTACTGGTCTTTGCCTGTGGGTCACAGTGAGGTTTAGACCTGACTGGGGGGTGGGAAGGGCCCTGATCTGGGCCTTCATTCTGTGGTTTGCACTTGTATCAGCCATCCCCTCCTGACTGAGTTTGCAGGGGGCAGCCCAGCAGTCAGCCGGCCGTGGCCCAGAATAGCCCTCACTTTTGCTCTGCATCAGTCTCTCCCCCCTTCTTCTTCCCTCCCCCTCCCCCCTTCCTTCTTTCCTTCCTACCTACTGTCAATCTTATAAAAGATGTACCTTTATTGAGCACACAGCTTACACTTTATCCTAACTTAGCCTTCAGTCACCCCAGGTGAGTCCTATGATCACTGGAGAACGTGTCGCCCAGAAAGAGGAAGTGACTCACTCACGTTCCCACAATGATGGCCACACAGACTGATAGCTGTTCTGACCTGGGACATGCTGGCCAGCTCTGCAGCCTCGGTTCTCATTGTGGCCTCAGGTCACACTGAGGTCTGGGGTCACACTGAGGCCTTGGGTCACACTGAGGTCTGGGGTCACACTGAGGTCTGGGGTCACACTGAGGCCAGGGGTCACATTGAGGCCTGGGGTCACACTGAGGCCTGGGGTCACACTGAGGCCTGGGGTCACACTGAGGTCTGGGGTCACAGTGAGGCCAGGGGTCACACTGAGGCCTTGGGTCACACTGAGGCCTGGGGTCACACTGAGGTCTGGGGTCACACTGAGGCCTGGGGTCACACTGAGGCCTGGTGTCTCACTGTAGCCCCCGGTCACAGCAGGTCCGCCCTTCCCTTGCAGGAGACGCTGGGCAGAGTTGCGGAGTCTGGGCTCCCAGCGCTGCTCCTGCAGTGCCTTTACCTCTTCTTCGTCTTTCCTCTGGAAAAAAAGGAGCTTTTGGAGGATGACATCCAAGTCCAGAGGATGTTTGTGCAGGTGAGTGAGAGGGGGGCTGAGCTCCTCTGGGCGGAGACCGCGCTCTGCTCCCGTCTGCTCTCCTCCAGGCCCCAGCTCACCGCCCCCCCCACGCTCTGCAAACTCGGGAAGCTTGTGCACCGGGAGTCTGGATTTTCCTCTTTGCATCTCTGCATCCATGCTCCCCTGTTCTTCCTCAGAAAGGTGGGCTCCTTCTCCACTGGGGCCCACCTGCTCCTTCTGCAGTCTTCGTTCCTGGCCCTGCCGCCCTCCCCAGCATCGGCAGCCTTCTGTTCCTGGTCCCCCCCCTCCAACGACACGCACACTACCCGCACTTGCATAACTGTCCGGTGCTCTCTAAGCACCTGCCGTGTGCCTTGTGTCAGGCCTCTGGCCTGTCACCTCCGGAGCCCCCTCTTCCATCCAGGACGTGTGTAGCACTGTCTCCTGGTTCTATACAAACTAAGGTAAAGTGAAGAAATGAGCTCAGGGTAGCAGGTGGGGAGGTGGGAGCCCTGGGACTCTGGGTCCCGAGCTGATTCACAGCCAGCCTCTGAAGCACGCAGAGATGCCTGGTCTCCGCAGACACCTCTGGCCACTGAGCACCGAATGCGATTTCCTCCTGTCACTGCCCATCTCTCCTGTCCGCTGACGGCCAGCAGCAGCTTTCACACAGCGCTCGCCTCCTTCCCCTGCCGTCACTGACAGGTTCTGCTTTCTTGCCTTCAGGGAGGCAGGACCTGCCGAAGCTACTGCCCTTGGGGTGAGGGAGGGTGAGCAGAACTGTGTGTCTCACTCACACTTGTGTGTCCGGGGCCCGGACAGTGTCTCACACAGAGCAGGGCCTCCAGGTCACGCAGGGATTTCCAACTGCAGCTGTCTACAGAACATCGGCATTCAGATTAACCTCCACTTCAGACTAATTCTCAAGCCAGAGTCATCATTACCGGAGGGCATCAAACAAGGTCCAGCAGGCCCCACGTATGGTGGCTTGTCCCCTAACCTGCCCATGTTGGAAGTGTAGCCTCATCTGCCTGTAGTCATATTCCAAATGGTGGCCAGGACACAGCGCTGGGCACGTGAGCAAATCTGTATCCTTGGGCTTTCTGTGCCCTACAGGGAGTGAGTGCAGCCCTGTCTACAGTGTCATTGGCAGGTGCAGAGAACGTGACCCATAGAGAGCAGGGTCTTCCTCATCTCATTCCACAAAACCCGTGACACTCCTCCCGGGTAAAGCTCTGTGCCACACCCAAGGTTCCCTCAGCAAGCACAGTCCCTCTCTTGTGCAGGTGACAGGAAGGTGTGGAAGCCAACTGGGGGAACAGTCCCAGGAATGAGCAGTGTCCAATTCCTTCAGTGCTCTGAGGGAAAAGGCCGAGGTGTGCTGGGAAATGAGGACATGGGGCCTGACTTACGGCGGCAGAGAGGAGGCCGTTCTGAGGAAATGGCATTGAACCAGGGCTAAGGCTAAGGCTAAGGCTGGGTGGAGCTGTGCGAGGAGCGGAGCAAGGAGCAGGAGCAGTCATCTAAGCCAAGGGTGGTGGCCACGCCCATGTGCAGGGACCGAAGCCAGCCCCCAGGACTGCCCCATGTGGACTCTTATCACTGCGCTGGAGGGCTATGGATTCAGGTGGGAGGAGCTTCCCATACTTGCTGAACTGGAAGAAGGTCCAGTTAGACCAGCAAGAGCCAAAGAGAGAGGGGGCAGGGCGAATCCCTGCAGAGCCCTGTGTGCCCCACCCACCCCAAGTGGACAGACAGTGTCTGAAGTCCACAGGGAGATGGATTGGTGGGGACAAGGGCCCCGGTTAAGAGGTTGCAGGAAAACACACATGGTCTTGTGGAGGAGTAGAGTGTGAGTGCTAGCTGGGGGTTCAGTAATACATCTTACTTTTTAAATAGCACGGGATCTTGTTAATTCCCTACTTTAATGGTTGGTGCCATTTTCCTGGCATTTCTCTATCTAAGTCCAACTCTCCTTTGTTCTTCTGATTTGGAAAAACTAACTTTGCTTTTATAGGGGCTATGAGTTTAGACAGCCCCAGGCCCCTCACCCTTTTCTAAGTGGCACTGCTCACCATGCTGGTCTGTGTAGAGGGTGACAACACACTGGCTTATCTTTTGTGGCAACAGGTGCCCATCGGTGCTCTGCAAAAGTAGAGAACAAACCCATTGCAGCAAGGAGGGCTCCTAACCAGTCTTCTTAGCTCCCCCCCTCCCCTTCTTCTTTCTTTCAGATGTTGCTCAACATCTTCAGTGAGTCTCAGGGGCTGGAGGGACTCCTCTCGGGGAATGAGCTCCAGTCTTTGCTGATTGCCACAACCTGTCTCCGGGAGCACAGCTGCTGCTTTTGGAAGGAGCCCACCTTCTGTGTGCTGAGGGCAATCTCCAAGGCCCAGAACCTCAGCATCATCCAGTACCTGCAGGGTAAGTCCCCAGGGACCAGGGGCTGGCTGTGGGCCCACTTTCCACAGCAAGACCCTGTCATGCTCTTGCATCAGGATAGATTTCTGGGACCAAAAAAGAGATGGGCAAACAAGGTTTTCATCTATGCCCAGCTAGGCCCAGTGGCTGACCCTATTTCGCTCGGTTCCAGTCTTGACAGTGCTTTTGTTGCTCATTTTGATGCTCCATTGGAGGAGGGAGGAAAGGGGGGCTCCTTTACTGCCCACATGCTGTCTGACAGAAACCGTGCCTGGCCCATCTGTATGTTATCTCATTTGCTTCTTTGAGACAAACATTAATGGTTCTTGCCACTGTGCAGCGGGGAAGCAGATCAGTAGTTGCTGAAGAACTTGCCAAGGCTCCCAGCTTTCCAGGAAGAGAATCACGTTTGAACTTGGAGATGCTGATCCCAGTGTCCCAGCTTCTGCTCTGGGCAGCACATGTAGGGGTTAAGGCTGTAGATTCTGGAGCCAGACAGCAGGGATGTACACCAGGCTCTGCCCTCACGGTCGAATGACTTCGGGCACTTAGCCACCTGGGTGCCTCGTCTGTTTCGTGTATCAAATGGGTTGACAATCCTGCCGACCTCACTGGATTGCGAAGATTTGGTGGGTTTATCTGAAGTGCTTAGACAGCGCCTGGCACCCAGTGGATTCCTGCTGCCATCAGCTTCACAGCATCACCCCCTGTGATCAAGGCAAGGTGCTGAGGGGGTCAACTCCATTAGCAGGACCCAGGCTCCTCGCCATCTCCTGTCCAAAGGAGAGTTGGACTTAGATAGGTGTCTTTTTATAGAGAAATGCCAGGAAGCATGGGCCACCCTGGCTCACACATTTTGGGAGGATGTGTTGGCCACCTCTACACACTGGCCCACATGCGGCAGAAGGGAGGCCAGGCAAGGCTAACTCCAGGGGGCACCTTGACAGAGGCTCACTGCAGCCCACCTACTTACCGGCTCTGGGGCATTTCCTCAGCTCATCGCTCAAGTGCCTCTTGGGAGCACAGCCGTCCATCCCTTGGGCTGACCCCAAGGTATGGAGTCTTTTGGGGAGTAGGTCAGGGCCTGCCAGAGTGACCTGCATGTCCACAATCACTTGCCCTGTGGTCTATCTTCTTTCTGGGGCCTCCTATAACAGGGGCATCAGCGGTGAGAGCTGGGGGGGGGGCTTGACAAGCCCACCCATATTGTGGTGGAGCCCTGGGGAAACGGCAGCCAGGGTCCCAGGTTCAGAGCTCCTGTGAGGCCAGGGCCCAGCAGTAACGGTGCAGGCAGGGCTGAGCTGGGCCTGAGGTGCTTTCCTGTGCCCCTTCACTCACAGGCTCGAGCTGGAGGCCCCTAAGAAAAGACTGCAGGCATTGGTGGGGAGGGGCCCTCACTGTATTGTTATTCTCAACTGAAAAAGAAAGATTCCCCCAAGAGGGGAGCCCGCCACCTGGGGTGCTGTGCCCCTGGGAGAGAGGGGCTGTCTCCTGTTTCCTGTTTCCGTGGGCATCTAGGCTGAGAAGGGGAGGGCTGGCCTGGCCACTACCAGTCCAGCCCTCAGCTCCTGGGGTGCCCCGCCACCAGTGTGCCTTGCAGGCTTCCTGCATGCCTCCGGCGGTGCTGGCTCTTGGATCAAGAAGACTCCCCCTTGGGAAGTGCCATCCTCAGAGCCACATCCAGGCCACTGAGGCCTTGCAGCTGAGGGACTGAGCAAAGTGGTCTCAGGTTCTCCGCAGGCGCCCTTCCGAACTCTCTCGCTCTCTTCCTGACTTCCTGGCGCTTGGGAGAGATCTCTCCCAGTGAAAAAGCCCTCAACACAGTGATCAGCCAAAATGCAAATCCAGTGACATTTCTCTTCTGACCCGTCTTCCTGGCTTCCCCCAGCCTTGGGGGACTGGCATGGCCAGGCTCCACGCAGAGGCCCTGCCTGTCCACCCACCGTGTCCCACAGAGGGCTCCAGACCCCGGACCTGGGAGCTGAGACACACCATCCTCCTGCCCTTCGCCTTGGCCCTGGCCCACGGTCACATGTCCCCCTGCACTGCTCCTCGGGCTGTTTCCTGCTCCCCTCCCGGACGCTCCCTTCGGCTCCCGAGGCGGCCGGTCTGTCCCCATTGCCCCTGTGACCTGGGACCCACACCCTCCCGCGGGCTGGGGGTTCTGGAGTAGAGGCTTGGAGGCAAACTCGGCTCTCACGGGGCGCTTCCCAGGGGGAGTCCTCTTCTTGATTCAGGAGCCAGAAGAAAAACATTTCGGGCTGATTCTCATTCACGTCTTGGTGGACAGCTTGAAGGGGTGGGGTGGAAGGGAATGNCCTTGGTGGACAGCTCGAAGGGGTGGGGTGGAAGGGAGTGGCTGGCAGGTGCTATTGCCTCCGAGCAAACGGGTGCATTTTCTCCTGCAGCCATGGATTGTGTCAAGATCCTGCTGCAGAACCTCTCCAGGCTGGCAGACTCTCTCCCTGCCCCAGAGCTGAGCGAGGCTGTGAGCCTGGTCTTGGGCTTCGTGAAGGACTCCTATCCTGTCTCCTCGGCTCTGCTCCTGGAGTTCGAGAATGGGGAGGGCTACCCTCTGCTGCTCAAAGTGCTACTCCGGTAAGAGGCTGTGCTCGGTGGGGGAAGACCCCCCCAACCTTGGTCCTCAGAGTCATCGGGGCACTTCAGAGAAAGACACATGTGGAGGCAGAGTGCCTTCTGAGATACACATCTCTGTCGAGCATGGCAGAGAGACTGTTGCTGCAAAAGTAACTCAGTGTGCAGTGGGCTTGGGAGCCAGGGCCCTTGCCTTGGAGAACCAGTGGGTGGTTGTGATAATAACTGTATCGAGTCCCTTCAGTGGCATGTTCCACTTCCACGCCGGCCAGCCTGACAGACCCGTCAGAGCCCACATGGCCAAGCTGGAGGGCTTCCTGGGACTGCGGTGACGGCTCTGCCTATCTGCTTGAGGGCTGGGAGTGCCAAGGAATCAGCCCCCATGAGCAGTCCTCAGCTGATGAATGGCAGAAGCTGATGGATAAATGCCCAGCAAAGTTGCCCTTGTGGGAGGGGGAGAGCGGGAGAGCTCCACCCTGCCTCTCAGAGCCCCCGGGAGGACTGGCTCCAGTTCCCCGGTGAGGCACTCGCTTGATAACCTCCGTGCTGTCCCGGTCTGTCTCCCAGAGCGTCTCGCCTCCTCCCCCTTAAATCCTTCCCCGTGGGAACCGAGTGAAGGCACTGTTCAGCCGGGTCAGGACTGGTTCCCCTGATGTGTTCTACTCTGACTTGCCAGGTCATCTTCAGTTGGGCCCAGGGACTGGATAAGCCAAGAGATGGAAATCAAAGGATTTCTGGATTTTCCAAACTCTTCCACAGATCCCAGGGAAGCTGCCAAGGGCGAGCCTCATACACCTCCCTGGGCTTTGCTCTGAATATAGCAGCCCCTCCTCCGCAGGACGCAGCTTGCACTGTGCCCCGCGGGCTTCCTGCTGAGTCAGGCTTCCAGTCGGAGGGTGACCTGAGTGAGGGGGTAAAGTCCCTCCGTCCAGAGTCTCCAAAAGGATGTGATTAAATGGCAACCCGAGGGCCTTCCTCCAAAGCAACATAACAGTGATTGTCCTTATGGTGATGCCACATTTTTTGTTGGTCTGAACTATGACCAACTGGCTGTTGCTTCCATGAGGTCTACGTCCTAGCAGTTCTTGAACACTTTTTGGTTAAATGGGTGGTTGGTTTCCCCCAGACTCCGTGTGGGAGGCAGGAGGGAAATGAGCCTGTTCAGGGAGTGTCAGGCAGGATCCGTGGCAGCTCGTGGGTTTTCCTTTCTGCCTTGACCGAAGTCACACCGTGAACACTTTTACTGTCGACACGCAGAGCTGGAGCAGACCTGAGTGACCCTGCTCCACAGAAGGGCAGGCAGCCCCTGCACAGCAGCTAAAACAAAAACACTCAGCGTTGGGATGAGCATCAGGAAGTCCAATACAGTCAGGGTATTTCCCATGACGTTTCTTCTGTTGTTCTTTGGAAATGTGAAATCTCTCATAATGGGGTGCTCTTGCCCAACGCACATGCCTTTTGGGGGTCCAGCCACAGAGAGCAGCCGCCTTGTAAGCAGATGCTGTTGCTGCTCCCGGCCTCTCTGTCTTCCGATTGCAGTTAGATCTTAGGCTGACCTTTGCAAACAGCGCAGCTCTTACCCAGGGCACTGCCTCGCCTTTCGGTGCTGACTTGGTGGAGACCTTGAGGGTCTTTCCCAGCACCTCAACCACGTCGCCTCTGAGCCCAGTGAGGAGCCCCGTGAGCAAACGTGGCTGCTTTGTCCAGGAACCCAGGCAGCTGCCCCCTCTGTCCCTGCAGGTACGATGGGCTGCGCCTGAGCGAAGCGGATCCCCACCTGGAGGAGCTCCTTGGGCTGGTGGTGTGGCTGACGACCTGCGGGAGGTCGGAGCTGAAGGTGTTTGACAGCGTCACTTACCCTCAGCTGGAAGGCTTCAAGTTCCATCACGAGGCTTCTGGTGGGTCACCCTGGGTCTCCCTCCGGGTGCCTGGCAGCAGGCGGCCCTGTGCCCTGACAAGGCTGCACAGGTTTCTCCCGATTCCTTGTAAAGAAACAAACACTGGGCACTTGTCAGTGACACAGTGGGGTCCAGTTCTGTCAAGCCTTTGAGATTGCTTATGGATTAGAAATCTGTCCTTCATAGATTTTTCTAGATGTCTTGGGTGGGACTTAGAGTAAATGTTTGCGAAGACTCAGTAATGGAAGGAGCCTGGATCTCCACCGCCACCTCTGGTGTGATGTACTCTATGATATTTGCCGATGTAACAGGGACGAGGGCCCTGAAACAGTCACCCAGGCTCAGAGCCAGTGTCACCTCAGCTCTTGGGGACAGTGATTGATTTATTGATGGGCTCCGTCCGTCGACATGCCTGGGTGCTTTTCCCAGAAGCCTCTGCCCCCTGCTGGGCACCAGGTGTCTGCGCCCTGGACAGGTGTCTGTCCTCTGTGGAGATGGTCATACATACCTGGAGCCACAGTCTGCTCTGTGACAGAGCATGCAGAGCCTCACTGAGACCGGCACAGGAGTGGTGACACCAGGCGGTGGGTGGGCCAGCTGCGTCAAGCAGGCAACGCAGCGCAGAGGGTGAGGCTCCGAGGCCAAGCGGGCCGTCCGGGTAGAGAGGAAGGAGAAGTCTAGAGGCAGACAGCACGGCCTGGGGAAATGAATGGTGGCGGAAACGTCCGGGTGAGTCTGGGGAGATGGGCACCGAGACCTGAGCAGACCAGGGTGGAAGCTGCAGAGCTGGGGGTCCGTTTGGGAAGAGCCACAGGAAGTGTCTGGAACAGAGAGAAGCTCCAGAAAAAGCTCGGCGTCCGAGGCTGAGAGGGCTGCCCGCAGGTTCTCAGAGGAGCTGTCTCCTGGGCAAGGGGAACGAGGCTTAACCTTCAGGCTGGAGAGAAGGGAGGGGCGGGTTTGGGAGGCGTCTTTATTTAACAGCTTGTTTGGAAGTGAAACAGACTTTGCTTAGTAATCTTTAAAATAATTTCATTTGGATTGATTGAAACCAATCCTTCAGCCCAGCACTGCCCAGTGGAAATACAGTGTGAGTCATATTAACAAATTTTAAATGTTCTAGTAGCCATATTTAAAAAAAGAAACAGCTTAAGTTATTTTCATAATGTGTTCTATTTAACCCAATATATCCAAAATATTACTATCTCCACATGTGCTCATTACAAATCATTGCATTGTTTTCTTTGCATGGTGTCTTGGAAACCCAGTGTGTATTTCCACATTCACAGAACGTCTCTGTTCAGATGGCATCCCAAGTGCCCAGTTAGCCACCACATGGCAGACAATGGAGCCCCAGGCTTACACTCTGGACAGCTGGGTTTCGGAACTTCTGATAGACATTTACCCACAGGAGCTAGAAAATAGAAACTTTCTATTTCTTGATGATAACGCAATCCCGTGTTTCTGGGCACAGGTGGGAGAAATGACTTGTGGGATTATTCCTTTTTTTATTTTCAGGGGTCACCATTAAGAACCTTCAGGCCTTCCAAGTCCTGCAAAATGTTTTCCACAAAGCCAGTGACTCCATCCTCTGCACGAAAGTCCTCTTGGCCATTAGGACCATGTGGGCTTGGAACGCCCGCAACTTCTTCCTGCTGGAGTGGACCCTGCAGCCCATCTCACAGTTTGTGGAGCTCGTGCCCCTGAAGCCAGTGCAAGTGCAGATGCAATTCTTTCAGTTGCTGGAGGCCCTGGTGTTCGAACTGCGTTATGTGCCCCACGAGATCCTGGGGAAGGTGCAGCGTCTGATCAAGGAGAGCCCCGAGCCTCTCTGCACCCTCGTGGCCCTGCAGAGTATCCTCAGGATAGCTGGCGCTGACCCACTCTTCACCGACATTTTCCGGGACTCGGGGTTCCTGGGCCTGCTGCTAGCCCAGCTGCGGAAGCGGGCCAAGGTCCTAAGGAAGTCAGGTGTGCAGAAACATGGGAGGGGGAAGGGGGGCAGGCCAGGAGTCTGTTCATTGGGCCTGTTCTGCCGCATAACAGAGAAAGTGAGTGTGCCTGTCACTGTCCCATAGGGTCAGGGAAGGTACACCTGGGTACATGACTTCACAGAGCAGCGGCCTCCTATTTCCTGTAACTGGCCTTGTCATCCCCGAGGAGAGAGGAGGGGGTGGGTGTAATTTTATTTTTTATTTTTATGGGTGTAATTTTAAACAGACTCATGGAGCTGATTCAGGCCTGATGAATTCTCAGCTTTCAGATGTTTCCTGCCTTGAACGTTGCCTGAGTGTGGAGATGCGGAGAGAGGAGGGGAAGGACAGGTCTTCAGTAATGCAAAGGGGACGGGAGCTCAGAGAGGCTTGGGGCTCTGGTGGGGACCTGCCTGGGTAATCTGGGATATGGCCACCTCGCTTACTCCGTGCTGTTGGGCCTGATGGTTTCCCATTCGGAGCAGGGGTCATTCTGCTCAAGCTCACCCCCTCTGAGTTTTGGCCACACTTTGTGTACCCCGCTGGGCTGTGCACCCATGGCTCCTTGGCATTGTCCCTTCACCCCTGTCTCAGCCCCTACACTGTGGACTCTCAGCATCAGTAGCCTCTGCTCCGCCCCCCGGGACTTCAGGGTCCCGTTTCCAATGGGAGTACACTGAAGAGTGCTGGCCCGGGTTCTCTCATGGGGACTTCAGGGTCCCGTTGTCCAGCGGGCGTACACTCAGGGAGTGCTGGCCTGGGTTCTCTCACTGCTTGAACACCCCATGAACATACCCTGTGGGGGCCACTCTCTGGTTGTCTACAACTCCCACCTCCACCGACTTTCAAATAGGAATCAGAGCATGAAAACTCCTCTCAGTTCCTCCTGAGTTTCCCTCAATCTGTCCACACCTGCCCCCCTGGGATTGTAGCCTGGAGGGATTCCGCATGGGAAGCAGCCACTTACCTCTCTCTGCCTTGGTCTCTCTTCCTTCCCCTACCACACTGGCTGGGAGGGACCAGGGGCTCACTAGCTGTTGGCCCCTTTTGGAGTTCTGCTCAGACTCGAGCCAAAGTCATCAGTCTGTCTGCTTCCTGGGCCTCTTTGAGGAAAGATGCTAAGGGAGAGCACATGGGTGCTGGGGCCAGCCCTGGGCTGCAGTCCTGGCTGTGCTGCTTAGGAGCTGAGTGATCCTGAGCAAGCTGCTTAGCTTCATGGGGCTCTTTCCCCCTTTTTAAAATGGAAGTGTGTGTGTATGTGTGTGTGTATATATATATGTGTGTGTGTGTATATATATATATATACACACACACATATATATATATGGCTGTTGTGAAAGTTCAATGAGGAACTATCTGAAAAGGACCCATTGTTGTGCTTGGTGCATAATAGGTGCTCGAGAAATGCTAGTCACTTTATCCCTATATGCCCTGTGCTACAGCGTGGGAGACTGAGATAAACACCTGAGGAGGAGCTCTCACTCACTGGTGGAGTCCAGGAGGGGCCTGTGGCTCCTTGGGGATGTCAGGGCTGAGGGGCAGGTGCTCCTGTCTTGGCGTGTCTGGGCCCCAAGCCAGGATTCAAGAGTCTTTTGTATGTGCTTCTCTCTATTGCTCTTTGCAGTCTTTTTGTTTAATGTTTTTGTTAGCTTAATTGTGCACTGCTTTTCAGCAGCCTGACTTTGAATTTACTCTTAAACCCAATCCCAGACCTATGACCGTTCTGGAGAATCTGAAGCTTTCTTGTGAGCTGGTGAATCCCATCTTACTTTGTGATGTCTATAGTTAAGTGTTTCTTGCTGTCTCTTAGATACTTTCTCTCTCGGTTAATAAACTCTATCTTTACTCATTCATTCATTCTCTGTATATACTGAACCTCCCTCTGTGTCAGCACTTTCTGGCTCTGGGGACTCAGGTGAGCACAGGCCTGGTCTGCTCTCGTGGATCTAAGGGGGACACCCATGTACTCCACAGTCTCTCTAGCATTCCCTGACTCTGGTGTGAATTGGCAGTCCTCCCTCCCCAACACCAATGTCAAACTACAAGTGTCCAAGGGAAGGTCAAGGAGGCGGGTGTCAGGGATTCTGTAGAACAATGGTTCTCCAAGAGTGGCCCTCACACCTGCCTGTCAGCTTCAAATGCGAACCTGTTAGAGACTCAATGACAGGACTCCACCCCAGACCTCTTAGGTCAGAAACCCTGGGAAAGGGGGTCAGCCTCTGGATTTTAACGACGAGACCCTCAGAATGTTCTGATTGGTTACGTTGGGGAACCACTGCTCTAAGGGGTAGTAGTGTTACACCTTACAAATTGGGATGCACACTCCTGTATAATGGCAGCATTATATTCAAATTTCTTTAAGAGGATAGAAAACTAACGGCATCAGAGATTTGGGATCATACCATGTACATTTGAATTTTTTTTATTGCTTCTTACATGTGGCAGGAAACAAAGAAGCCATTCTCAATGTCCAAGACCCAGAGAGAGAACTGACCCAGGTGATGCTGGACACGGTGGTCGTGCTGCTGACAGGCTCAGTCCGGAATGCAGGTAAGGGTGGGGCCACCTCACCCGGTCACTGCTTGGGGAAACATTAACTGTCCTCAGTGATTTATGTCAATGATCAAAGGTTATACGAGGAATGGTTTATGTACAGTGATTTTCAGTAAAGCGGTTGACACCTCGGTTGACACCTTTTACTTTTAAAGTTGATAGATAAGGTTGTGAACCAATGGCATATCCTAAATTTATGAGACCAAAGAGTACTTCCCACCCCATATTTTCATATAAAATCCATTAATATCCTGCTGCACTATGTGCTTTAAAAAATCCAAATCATAAAATATAGGCAAAGGAAGCTGGTGATGTTTAAGAGAGTTGAGTTGGTGTGCTCCCGCCTGTGATGCGCTTAGTGGTTCCATCCGTCCCCAGTGCTCTAGCTCCCTGAGACTGTGCAGTTTTAACAAATATGTACATGGAATATGCATGTATATATGTTATGCTATCAAGCAAAACCTCAACAAGTGGTACCAATGGGTCTGGTGATTTGGGGCATCTTTATCTGAGGCCCTCACAGATCAACTATACCTAATGTGAATGATAATTTCCTACGGTAGAGGGTCTCTAACGTTAGACTGTAAAAAATCCCTGGAGGTGCTGTTTAAAATGCATATTCCAGACATTTCATTAGCAGCAGGCCAAGGCAGCGCTCAGGAATCTACTTTTAAAAGGCCTCCAAGGTGATTCCCACATAGGGAGCACCTAGCCCTTGTTTGGAGCACTCCCGCCTTGTGTGGGTGACCGTCAAAGCCACACCGTGCTGTTGGAATGACCCAGTTGCTTCCTTGTTTCCATTCCACGTGACCACTCCAAATATCATCCTGGGGAAGAAATTCTTAGAATTACTTCTAAACAAAAACATTCCACCAGCCAAATTATGTTAATCTCCCCCCTTCCCAAGAAACTACCTAGGAATTAAATATGTTCCTAACTTCAATTCTGGTTGGCTTTCGCTGAGTATTTTGACAGAGAGAGAGAACTGCCACCAGCCCTGGATTAGGGAATTATGTGGAAATAAAGGGCAGAGGTATATCTAGTTAAAGTTCTGATTATTTAGGTTTCTAAATTTAAAAAAAGAAGCCCCCCCCCCCC